TCGGTGGTGGGGTCCATGTTTCAAGGCTGCAGGCCCTCAACACCTTGTGCTGATTACAACTACTGTCCTAGAACATAGCTGAGGGCCTTTGCAAGCTTGATCTCCTGAAGATTAAGGGCAAAACTCCACAACTGATGAGTTGTGAACTAGTCACAGCAATAGGTCTAGAAAAATAAGTTAGCGAACAAATAGTTAAAACATTTTAGTTTACCAGGTATCGTAATCATCATCATAGGAATGAGGGGACAGATTCACTACAGAAGCACCATAACAGAACACACCAGGGCATCTGTCAAAGCCACTGTTGTCATCTTCTAGCAGCTTCAATCATCTTTGATGATTTATTAATGAAATACAGCTCTACATACTTTCTCTTTCTTTCAGATTGTTAACACACTCAGAGCTTGCACCTTTGAGAGCCTCCCTTGTTCCCATGGAACACTGCATAACCCGTTTCTTCCATGAGTGCGATGGAGACCAAGACAAACTCATTGCTTTGAAGGAATGGTGCCACTGCTTTGGGATTAAGGAAGGTAAACCTAAAAGAACAGGCAGATGTACAGGACAAAATGTTCCTATCAAGACTAGGCACATTCTCAGACCACAACATACAGGAAAGAAATTGTAGCCAGAAGCTCATGGCTACTGTGCACAGAGGCAAACAGAACATAAATGGCCAGACTGCAAAAGGTCCAAGGTTCTGACTTGTTTTATAAAGATATGAAAAAGTAATTTTTTCCATGAGGAAAAATCTGGGAGGTAGTTTGTACTAAGTATGAATTCATTCCTGTGTGGTGTCTGAGCCTATATGTTCTGCATGTCTGTCTCTCAGGAAACACTGTTTTATCCTTCAGTGCCAAAGAAAAGGCAAAGCAAGCCTGTACTTTTAAATTAGTGGTCAAAGCATATTGACTTAAAAGGCATTTAAAGATCTCAAACCAAGTAGGGAAAACAACAGAAATCTCTCACTGATCAAGTAACTATGCTCACCTCTAGATTACCATATACAACACAAACGCTGTCAATCACACTGTAGTTGTGGGCCAAACCGTCTATTTTACCCAATCTGCCAGATGCAATACATGGTCAGATGGTGCCCACCAGACTGCATGCATCAGGAGGCTTAGGCAGAGGCAAGGACAGCTTCTGCATCCTAAATGGACTAGCTAGGTATATGTTTGGTTCAGCTCAACCCACACTGAGACTTCTCTAGGTACTACTGTGCTGGTGATGTCTCTATAATTAGGCAGCAGCTGAACAGAAGCTGTCACGATAGCAATTTGAGATTTACATGACTACGTTAAACCTAAGGCATTCTTTTGCAATCTACCTTCTGATCTAAACCTGAGTGACAGCTGAACAGTACTGCCAGTCATTAAGCAAGGGTAGCAGTAGCACAGGTTATTCTAGAACAGTTATGTGACAGAGGCGCTTGGCCAAGCATGTGGACTGAAGAAATGTGTTCAAAATCCTACTAGCATCTCCCTAATTTTAAGTGGAGGTTGATTCTGGTCAGACGTCAGACATGCAGAGACTTCACTCTTCCCAGAATTTTTCCAGCTCTTCCAATGACACTTTACCAGTCACAAACCATGTGGGGAAGTAAGCTGCAAAGAGTTATCATAATACACATGTACTGCTGCCAATGATTGTTCCTCCAAAAAGGGTTTAGGGTCTGTCATTTGTGAAGATGGGGTGGAAGGGTTTCTTGGCTCACAAACAGATCAAGGAGACCTAACACTAGAAACAAGAAAGCACCTATCGAGAAGGGTCTAAATGAACGGCGTCTGAATATGATAGCAGCAACCATACTTGTTTTTTTGTTAGGAATAGCGTCTCCTTATATGAGCCCTCTGAAACTTTAGTGTATCACTTCCTCGGTAGTGATACGGAATAAAAATGTCTCTTTGGCATAAATTATTAATAATATTTTCTTCTTCTTTGTTACAGAAGACATAAATGAAAATCTCTTGTTCTGAGCCTGGCTGAACAGAATCCCAGTGCTGCCCTAAAACTGCTGAAATACGTGAATCCCATTTATTTCTGTAATTAACAGCTTCATAGTTTTCAAGGCAAAGATGGCATAAGGTTCACTGCATTCTTATCAAACACCACAAATGCAGAAAACTTCTACATTCATTAACAGCAAAAAAATGTATGTACTCCAAATGGTCCATAGCTAAACAACCAGTGTTTTACCTGGTTACATCAGGATACGTTCCTAGCATGTATCCATGATATCTCTGAACCAGTAAGTAGTACTAACCTGATGACCGAGCTGTTCACGGCACTCTTCAGTAGAATTATAGGAGGTGGATTTTACCATACACTGAAGAAAATCACCTTAAAATAGGACTTGTTTCCTTTATTTACTGTACTGTTGGTTTAATTTTCTGCATAGAAGCCTCAAATAAAATAAAAATCTACTTAGATATATGGGTTTTGTCACAACTTTGTCAAAGAAAAGGTATCAAGGCAATGGTTAAACAGAATTTCATTTTAGGTTTAAGGCAGAAGAAACTAGAGTGTAGATCATATACACCAGACCTTAAACCATAATTCCTAAAATACATAAAAAATCAGCACTTTTCAGATACTCTTCCCCCAGCTCTCGAAACGCAACAGTAATAATACCAATGCCATACAGCAGAACTCCTGTTGACAAACTGTGTAACAAGCTAATTGTATGAGCATCGTGACTGCGGATGAATGTCAAAAGACTGATTAGCAACAGGTCCACCATCACAAGGAGCAGAGGATATCACAGCTCCAACGTCTCCCTATTCTCCTTAGCAGGCACATTCTTCCTTCTTCCCACAGGAGCACCAACTACTTCTACCATTTTTTCTGAGAAAGAAATGCTAACTATTTCTTTCACCATCTCCCAACTTTTGCTTGCCTGAAGACAGGCACAATTTAAGCACAAAAACAGGACAGAATGAGATTATTCATGAATCCCATTAACTTTGTGGTTTTAAGCCAAGCACTTCACTGGAAAGGCTCCAGGCATGCTCTGCTGTAAGCAAGAAACCCCAAATGCTATTCCTACAAAGGAAGATCAGAAAACACCTTTCACCTGAATCATGTCTCCTTTCCAATGAAAGGAAAATGGGATTCAGAAATGCTGTTTTGGTAGCTGAAATAGCAGAAGACCACTTACCCCTTGCTAATTTGCTCTTGAACCAGCAAGGGCTGCTAATCCTAGTCCAACCCCAGCCTGATACCCTGGGAGACGATGAATTAAGCTATGATTATTTTCAACACAGGAACTTCTTAAACAAACAAAAGATTATTTTCCACCAAAACCAGTTTCACTGACTCACAAGCCTGACTTGTTACCCACTTCACATTCTGTAACATCACACAACAGTGTACATAAATCAACCCAGATTGCAGGTGCAAAAGCATATTCTCTGTGCTAATTCTATTTGAAAAAGATCCTTTTTCTGGGACTTCAAACGTCTCAAGGAAAAAGTAATTTTGACAGCGTTTTGTCTGCCTGACTGCAGCCTATTGCTTATTTGCTCTTTCTGCAGCCCAGAGTCAGCCACCTTAAAACAATCAAATATAGTTCACACAAGGACAACTCACGAACAATTGACCTATTTTCCACTGAGGCTAATACTCACCATTGCTCCACTCAAACCATGTACTAGAATAAAATACAACGAAACTAAATTTATCAGGGCAAACAGGGAAGATTTTCCTTTAAACAGTCCAAGTTCTGCAGAGCAAACAACCACCATCACCAAGATGATTACAGCTGTGGATATATAAAGCACCTAACATATTAAGGAGCAGATTAGCATCCCACCTGTTTTGAAATTCTCAGTGATGCTGCCACTTCCAGTTTTCCACTGCAAGACACAGAAAAGGGGTATTTGATAACACATGTATAGATAGATGCTACAGTCATAGTACAAAAAAAAATTTTTTCCTGAGCTCTTGTAGTCTGCAAGGAGGCAAGCACCACCAGTATTTAATCTACAACTTATAAAAACATTAACAGTAAGAATGATGAATGAAAGCTAGTTTCCCCATCAGCACTTTAACTATATTGTTACTATTATATCTTAACTTATAAATATTTTAATTTTTATTATTTCTTTACTTTGTGAAGTAGATAAGATAAAGCTTGTGATAATTTTATTGACCTTATGTAGATTTGATTGTTTCCACTTAGTTTTAATGAACATAAATTAAACATGTGTTTAGTCATAAATAGTCCCTCTGCAAGAGAGAATCAACAGTGAAATCACATTCCTACCAAAGGCAGCCTTTGAGACACACACACATATTCACATACACATGCACACAGAATCACAGATCACAGAATCATAGAATCACTCAGGTTGGGAAGGACCTTCAAGATCATCAAGT